CGCGAATCGTTTCAAACTGTTTGCTGAGGCAACTTTGATAAAAAAAAGGGCGGGGTGGGAAGCCATCACGTTCGCATTTTAGTTCTTGCTTCTTGTTTTTCAACTCTATATATACTGACGGTGGAGATGACCGCTGCTGGCTTTGCTGCATATATATTATTATTATTTATAGATAGAGATTTCCACGCGTGTTATTTATACTTATATATATATAAATTATATATCTATATTTTAATAAATAAATCTGAAGCTTCCACTTGCCCATGCATCTTTTCGATGTGAAGACTGGTATAGGGTAGGCAGCTCCAAACGCAACTCTTTCTTTTTTCTGTGTGTTAAGTGAAAGCTAAAAAGACACAAATACCCTTTGATATGAATGATCCAATAATCAATATGACTTTTAATGAAAATATGATTTAAACTTTCATTTTGTGGGCGATGTATTTTGGGACAAATGACATCACAACGTATTTTGTACGTTCACAGGCAACACATCGATAGTTTCAATATCCACTTTGATAAAAAAAAGGGCCAATTGCATTTCGCTTTGATCTAACCGTATCCCTGTGTTTTTTTACTTTGCAAATTTACTTATTTTTAAATCTCAAGAAGACTTAACGGTGAAGTGAAAGCTAAAAAAGACACAAATACCCTTGTTTTCCAATAATCAATCACTTTTTATGTACAAACTTATTGTGGATGTATTTTGGACAAATGACATCACATATTTTTTCACCGACTTATAAGCATCTTATCATCGAAACGATCATGCGAACAGGGTGATCATCATTGTTATCTCCGTCAACTATTCCATCATCAGGCTCGAACCGTTATTTCTTTTTTTTTTGAACGGGGCCCACAGCTTTATTAGTAATTAAAAACAAAGAAAGAAATGGAGAACTCTCGTTCAGATTCAGGCCGCACTCAGGCTTATCCGTTCAGATGCCCAGTCCATCACGGCTTCAGGCTTCACCAATCACCGAGCACCCAAGGAGGTACGCTGTGGCGTAAGCAAGGGACCTGAGCGGATGGCGCGACACCGTGAGCGTGGACGCAGCAGCGGGATGAGCTCCGCGCCTACCGCCCGGCGCGTCGCCGGTCCTCCACGCCGCCTGCGCCGCCGTGCCGCCAGCCAGTCGTGCCACGCCGCCGCCCGTGCGCAGACGGCCCCCGCGCAGCTTGGAGCGCGCCCCGCCACCGACCCTAGCGACCGCACTTCTCTCATCACGTGATGAGACAAAGGGGAAAAGAGGAGGCCCGTGTGATAACGGATGGGCATCATAGTCTTTTCCCTTTCCTTTTTTTTCAAACAATTTTTTGACCCATTATTAAATAGCAACTCACGGAGTTGGGAAACAAGGGCAGACGGCAACTTCAGGTAAAAAAATGAGGGTAAATATGTAAACTTAAAAAAAACAGGGGTAAACATGCTGTTAGTATTAAAAACGATAATGCAATTGTCCCCCAACAAAAACGGTTCATGGTGCCAAACGTACCTTAACTTCTCATAAATAAGTCACCAAACACATTGTGTGTACGAAGGAAACAATATATTTGCTAGCTACGGCCTGTTTGCTGAGGCTCTGCAAGGCAAAAACTAAGAATACAAATCAAAGTTGAAGCAAATCCAAATTAAACATAGCATTGGAACCAATGAAACCATGCACCTTTAGTTCAACCAATCCGGCTATAGACCCAGTTGCCTTCGCTGGAAAAAAAAATCAAAATACTGTTCCGACTAATTTGTTGTGAGAAAAAAATACTGTTTTGATAAAAAAAAGGTCAAAGAAACCAGATTTTAAGACGAGCCAACAGGGCCTATAATCGAGCAGATAGCTCCTGTTTAGATGACGAGACATGCATGCAGTTAACTTTTAGACTAATTAAATATAGTGTCGCACAATGAAGACCTACATGATCGTACACGAATAATGTAGTAGGTAGTGTTATCGTCCGTGGAATCTTAATCCGTATATATATATATATATATATATATATACACAGAATAAGTTATTCTATAACCACTTTGAGTCATGATAATTACTATTTTAATTTACGAGATTAAAGTAACTCCTTATTAAGTGATTTACTATAACATTATGGTAAATATCATCGTGAGTTATAGTAACATAAGTATCGTAAATGCATATTCATGGTATCGTAAATTAGTACAAACATTATATTCTATTGCCACCTGCAGAACAGCCTTATATATATATATATTAGGAGTACTAGCTAAATTCTAGAATAAAATGTATTCGAATCTTCTAGCGTATGTAGTAGTGATGGTTGCAACTTGAACGCCTCTTGTGAATATATTATTCCAGGGGCCCTGCCGGGAGCAGAGTATGCTTGAGCCTTTTGTCAGATTGTGAATATATTATGATGGGCGCCAATTTTGACAAATAACAAGTTGTCCTTAGTATATAGTATTATTTTTATGTGAAGAGAAATTAAAAGTAAGATGTCCTTTTCGCTAATGACATACAGTAATATATATACTAGTGCATATGTAAAATACGTGTGCTACATCATTTATAAAAAAATATGATTTATGTATTTAAGGGCTTGTTTGGATCCTTTAGCCACCGAACTAAGTGCGTGTTCTTTTTCACGGGAGAAATAACTAAAGACTAAATTTTAGTCCCAATTAATCCCTTTAAACCAAACACCGGGACTAAACATAGAGACTAGGACTAAAATGCAGTAGTCCCTTCAGACTGCTAATTGGGACTAATGGATCCTTTATAGCCCATACCCCTCCCTCTCTCTCCTCCCTCCTAGCCTCTCTCCTCCCCTTTAGTCCATTTTAGTCCCTGGAAACAAACACTATTTTAGTTCTGTTTTAGTCTCTAGTCCTAGGACTAGAGAAAAGAACACACCGTGAGGTTTAGGGCATGTTTGGTTACATGGATTAGAGACTAAAACATGGACTAAAAGAGGGACTAATAGCCTGTTTGGTTCAAGGGACTAAAGGACATTAAAGCTGCTGAACAAAGACTAAAAGACCCCTAGTCCAACTCCTCCTTCCCTATTTCCTTATTCTCTCCCCTCCCCTGTCTGCATCACGCACAGCAGGGCGGCGCCGGCGGGCATCTCTACCACCGCCCCAACACCGGACCGCCCTGGCGGCGCGTGCATAGCCTGACTTGCGGGCACGGCGGCCCCCGGCGTTGGCCCGTCCCGACAGCTCAACGTCGCGGTGGTTCCTCTCCTTCACCTGGCTTCGGCGTCCCTCGAAGAAAATGGCGGATCCGGCGGCGGCGCCGTCTTCCACAACAGCGGCACCGGCGCCCTCCTCCATGCACCGGTTGTGGTGCCATCGTCCACTGCAAGGGCGACTGCGACTTCACCCAGATCTAGATCAGGGGCGCACAGGAACGATGGCGGCGCCCTCTTGCTCCCATCGACAGAGGCATCCTCGTCTTCCCCATGCCTGATGCGGGCGCGGGAGGAGAGAGACTCGCGAGGGAGGAGATGGAGGGAGGGGGTATGGGCTATCCTTTTGGGCCAGAAGTCCCAAATAGCTCATCTGAAGGGACTACCAGACTAGAGACTATTAGTCCCTCCTGTTTGGCAAACTAGGGACTAGAAGGGACTAAAATAAGCTCACTAGTCTCTAGTCCCTTGTAACTAAATAGGCTCTTAGTCTAGGGACTAAACTTTATTCCCTACCCTGTTTGATCTAGAGACTAATGGACATTAAATGTAATGAACAAAGACTAAAACACCCCTATTAAATGCACAGGATCTTTTGGGAGGGATGGAGAACAGAGCAATAATAAGGGGCATGGACTGTCCTTTTGAGCTTTTAGTCCTCTTTTGTCACCCACTCTAGTCAGCGTGTTTGGTACTTTAATTAAGGACTAAAAAGCTAAAATGGGATTACTGAACTTTAGTAAGCTGGAACCAAACCGGCCCTAAGCACGATCGAGGATCAGGCAGGGCACGGGGAGTAGACGTAGTATATACTCCTTCATGGAGAATATGATGAGAGTAGTATCTAGCCGGCGGATCCCTCTCCGTCACACACATATATGTGTATATGTATAATATATGTAGCATAATAGTATCTTTTACATGGCTGTCCTGCAAGACAATGACACCCATCACTATTGTGCTGTGCACATATACTCCAACGTTCATTTTATTTCTGGTAGCTAGCTTGCTGATGTGAACGCACAACTGACGTACACACACAAGAAATAGGAGACCATGCAAGCAAGCGTTGATGATGGAGCTAGCAGGCAAGCATGTTGGAGCTACGATCTAAAAAGTCTGAATTTTACTTTTGGCTAGATAGATACGTACTGCATACTACAAGCGTTGTGTAGCTCCCATTTCAGCTAGCTAAGCTAGGGTCTCTCTCGTCTCATGCACGCCTTCTATTATTTTTCATATATAATATTAACAAAAAAAATCAATAGCACTAATAGCATACTCGTTACAAAATGCGTGCAGATTAAACTTTCTCAACTTTGACTAGATTTATAGAAAATATGTATATCATTTTTGTCTCTAAATAAGTTTATTATAAAAATATATTTAACGATCTATCTAATAATACTAAGTACGTATTATAAATATAATCTTGATATTTTTTTAATACATATTTGGTTAAAGCTAAAAGTGTTTGAGAAGCGAGAATGACCTCTGTTTTCGGATGGAGGGAGTAGGATGCAAGGAGAGCATGCATGTGTGGTGGGCCAGCATGGAGGCCACGTGTATGACGGCACACTAGAGCAGACCAGGTTGGCGGGCCACGCGCCCACGTGGGCAGTGGGCCCGGAAGCGTCGCTGCTGACCTGTTGTGTTGGGCCGGTGTGGTGTTGTGCCCAGCCATGGGTAGTAGCTTAGGGACTGTATATATGCACCGTACCGTTTCCCTCCTCCTCCTCCTCCTCTCTTCTCTCTTCTCTACCGCGCGCCCGCCAGTAGAGTCTCTGTTTGGTCCGATTCCGATCCGTCGTTGCTTACTACTCCAATCCCATATACGTACCATGGGTAGTAGGGGCCGCAGCAGCTACTACGGTAACGGTGGTGGCGTTGGATTCTTCGGATCATCGTCAGAGCGACTCCTCCACCCGGCGGCGACCCAGCATGACGTCTCTGCCTCCGCCTCCGCCGCCGCGGCCGACCACCTCGCGGACCTGGACGAGGAGGACGTCTGGTCGGTTGTCACCAACGACAATAGCCACCACCACCAGAACAGCGGCGCCCTGATGCATCGTCGCACAGCGTACGCCGGGTGCGGCGGCCTGTCGCTCGCGTTCGAGGCCGCGTCGCCGTCGCCGCCCGCTCGGCACTCGGCGCCGATCAGCGTCCCCGAGTGGCCCGCCGCCACTTTGCCCGATGACGGCGGCGGCGGCGAGTGGGTGCCGCCGCACGAGTACCTGCAGCGGCGGTGGTGCGGAGGGGCGGCGGCGTCGTCTGTGCTGGAGGGAGCCGGGCGGACGCTCAAGGGCCGCGACATCACACGCGTGCGCGACGCCGTCTGGAGCAAGACCGGATTCTTCGGCTAGTACATAAGTTCGCTAGCTAGGTGCATGCCATGCCATGCCATGACTGCTGTATGTGCTGGTGCTATTCTTCTTCAGTGTAATATATCTATCTCTTCCAAGAATTGAAGTAGCTAGGCGGACGCCATGCCATGCCATGCCTGCTGTGCTTGTGGTATTCTTCTTCAGTGTAATATATCGTCTGTCTCTTCCAAGAATTGAAGTAGCTAGCGGCAAAGGCACTTATGTACTAAGCAAATTAAAAGCGATATATAGATGCCCAACAAGAACAAAGTTTGTTAAACTTTGGTGGATTAAGGGAAAAAAATATCTGATTTACTGTAGTAATTGGGCTACTCTGCATCGTCCCTGCACCAAGGTTCATTCGTGCTATGCTGTTGGGGATCTGCAACCCGCAGTGCCCCTAGTTAGACGATGATCGATGAATACGCTCCACTCCCAGTCTCCCACACCAGCAATCCACATCATCCATTGCTAAGCTGTCGTCGTCCTAGCCTTTCTGATGAATGTGACGGCCCTTTCGCCGTTTCATCACAACCATCTGCTCGTAGCAAACTACACTACCGGTCTTAAAACTTATCCACATATGTTATTTAGATTCACAAATTTTAATTTGAATTTTCCATGGCGACCTCTTTTTTCTTTCTTTCTGGGAACCTTTTCCCTGTTTTTTTTTTTTGAAACACCTTTTCCCTGATAGGAATTGAGGAGCGAGGAACCTACATAGCAGAAGGTGGGCCGAACTGGCCCAACAACCAACTGAGGGCCTATTCACGGAGATTTTTCAAAAGAAATTCAAATGAACTACATTCCTATATTCTCCTTACCTTACATTGTTTCCGAAAAGAGGGACCAACCTTCTCTAAACTGGAGAGGTACAAAGTCCAATGTTTATGATCCGACAGATGTACTGATGCACTCTTATAGGATTACACAAATCATTAGGATGCTGATTTTGCCTACTGATGAATGTTGGGCCATGTGAATTGATTTTGTATGAATGTAAAAGGGCCATGTGAGTTAATTTTGTATGAGTGTAAATGGGCCATGTGAATTGATTTTGTATGAGTGTAAAAGGGCCATGTGAATTTTATTAATTGTGATGATTGTTTTAAAAAGGATTAGCCATTGGTAAGTGGGCTTGATTATAAATGTGATTAACAAGCATGGCCTGCAATCTGAGAAACAAAAAAAAGGGTTTATGCTATGACCGCGGAGGCGCTGGCTGGCTGGAGGAGCGGGCCGACAGTAGGAACCCCGGCTAAGGCAATTCTCTTAATTGGTCAAAACTTGAAAGAAGGGGAACCCAGCTAAGGCAGGGCCTACACCAAAAGGTTCCCATCGGTCATGGACCCTGCCGAAAAGGGAATGCCCACGCAGGACCACCCTCCTCGCGTGAAAGGCACCCAAATTCCCCCGGGGAACTTGACCAGGCTTTCTTTCTTCCCAAAGGGTCAAATGATGGTAGTACAAAGCCGTCACCTAAACATAACATTTATAGCTTAGGATGTGCTGCCCACACAGGCACAGGGAAGGCACACCCTAATAGTGTGCACTCGTACTAAATAGGGGACATGCATTGCTTGCCCCTGTTATGTTATTGCTACCACGATTCATTGTAAACCATTTGATATGAAATGCCACGATCTCCATATCTTCCACTGCAAGTACAGGAATAATGATGCTCCCCCTTGCCCCCATTGTATAAGGATGGACGACGGAAGCCCATGGTTGGGTAGACTGAAGCAAGCCCCCTCCTTTTTCCCTTTTCCTCTGTAACATGGTCCCTCAAAGCTATATAAGGGGAGAAGAGTGCTCCCCTTCTGGTCTTAGTCTGTAGACCTACAATGCTATCTCTTTCACCTCCCCTTTGTAACCCCTACTAGCTACAACAAACATATGATGGAGCATCACCCGAATTGGATATAGAGCACATTGCTTGAACATGTATAAGTCATGAGTCTTTGAACACTAACCATCTGAAGCCATACACACGACTGTAAATTTACTAGTTGACACTGTGAAACATCAACAATGTGTACCGATGAAAAGAACCATATAGATCAATAATTGATAATTTTTTCACAAATTAAGTAGAAATTAAATAGTACCTACACGTGTATGGACAAAGAAAAATGTGCAGATTATAATTTTATTAATTATTAGTTATTAATTAAACATGAATATTTACTGTCTATGTCTCATAAGATCCTAGCCGCACAGGTTGATGAAGAAGTGGATAGAAAGAAAATATTTATAAAACCTAAAGGCAAAAAAAAAAAAAAGAGATGGAGAAAATAAAATACAAGAGGACGGAGGCCGACATCCTAAGGGCTCGTTCGTTTGGCAGGGAATCATTGCCTGGAATGAATCCTACCTGAATTGCTTTGCAAAATTATATAAGCATTGATCAATTGGAATAATTCCTGGTGCAATCCAGCAAAACCGAAACCGAACGGGTCTAAATGGGTCACGGAGAAACAAAATGGAGTAGTCAACATTCGATATACAAGATGGAGATGAATCAACAATATAGAAATCAATTATGCTATACTACCTACTGCAGGAGCTAATAAGGAGTACTAGGTAGCTAGGTAGCTAGTAGTATTACAGAGAAAGCATATGAAATCAATGTATACGAAGACGATCGACGCACACATACATACTGTACGTACATACGAGTATATATGCAGTACGTACGCAGTGTCATGATGCAACGAGTCTGGTCTGGGGTCGTATGTCATGTGCTAGCAAGCAAGCAAATGATGGCATATATGCATGATCGAGATGGATCAGATCTCGTAGGACATGCCGACCTTGAGCAGCTGCGACTTTGGGATGGCGAGCATCTTCTCCCCCTGGCGGCAGTTGTTGCGTAGGAAGGCGTAGGCGTAGTTGACGAGGATCTTCTTGAGCAGCGACGAGTGCGGCCGCGCCACCACCTCGCTCTCCCCGAGGATGTACACCACCCCCTTTTCCATCTCCCGCTCGATGAACCGCTGCTCCTCCTCGATCCGAGCCATCTCCTCCAGGCTGATCTTCACCGCCGCCGCCGCCTGTTGTTGCATGCCGCCGATGCTCCCCATCCGCGACAGCTCCGAGAACGACTCCGCCGGCGTCACCATCTCCTCCGCGAAGATGCCCGTGGACCTGGCGCGGGACAGCTGGTCGGCCCTCTCCGCGCACGACGCCGAGTGGAGGATGCCAGGCGGCGGCGGGCCACCCCCCGACGTGGACCTGGCCCTCGCCAGCTGAAGCTGCTGGGTCGTCGTCGCCGCCGTCTCCGTAGTGTATGAGTAGTAGGACGCGGCCGATGACTGGCGCAGCATCATGACCGACCTCTGCCGCGCCACTACCATGCTGTCGCAGCGCGAGCTCGGGTAGCTGACCTTGGCGCCCGGCTGCTGGTGGTCCACGCCGTAGAGGTTGACGTCGCGGATGTAGTACTGGAGGCGCTCCACCAGGCTGGCCGCGAAGTCCCTGGCCTCCTCCAGCGGGTCCCGGTAGCCGTAGCGCGCCACGCACCGGAACACCCGCGGGGTGCTGCTGGGGCTGCTGCCGGTGGCGGCGCCGTTGCCGGTGCCAGTGCCAGTGCCGGCCTCCGTCACCTGCCTGAATAGGAAGCGCTCCGTTGCGTCGATGTGCGGCACTGGCAGGTGCTTGACGGAGACGAAGAGCAGGACGGCGTGGATGGATGGGATCTTGTCCACCAGGTGCGGGAACACGGGCGGGATGCCCTGCACCAGGTCCGTGTAGAAGAGTCCGACGCCCGGGACGGTGCGGCAGCGCGGCAGCAGGTCCCGCACGACGCTCTCGTGCGACACCGTGCGCTCCAGCTCGTGCTTGTAGCGCTTCACGTGCACGTAGTGCCACAGCACCATGACGGCCACCAGCAGCGCGGACATGGCGACCGGGATGTACCCTCCGTGCGCGAACCGGTAGAGCACGGAGGAGAGGTAGACGGACTCGGCGGCGGCGAAGACGGCGAAGAAGAGCGCGACGCAGGCGGCGTTGACGCGCCACACCAGGAGCATCACCAGGGTGAGCAGCAGCGTGGTGATGAGCATGACGAGGACGACGCAGATGCCGTGCGCCTCGGCGATCACGGCCGTGGTCTTGAACGCCAGCGTGACGACGCAGGCGACGAGGGCGAGCAGGAAGTTCACCTCCGGGATGTAGAGCTGGCCCTGGTACTGCCGCGACGTGTGGAGCACCTTGACCCGCGGGAAGCAGCCCAGCGCCTGCGAGTGCGAGATGGTGGCGAAGGCGCAGGAGATCATGGCCTGGCTGCCGATCACCGACGCCGCCAGCGCCAGCACGAAGGTGGGCCAGAACATGGACTCCGGCGTGGACTGGTAGAAGGTGTTGGCCACCTGCTCCGGGTACCGCCGCAGGAAGGCGGCCTGGCCGATGTAGGCGAGGAGCACGGCGGGGACGAGGCCGAAGCCGAAGCTGAGCTGGATGGAGCGCACGCTGAAGTAGCCCAGGTCGGCGAACAGCGCCTCCGTGCCGGTGAAGCAGAGGAGGACGCCGCCGAGGGAGACCCAGGCGTCCCTGCCGTTCCGGCGGAAGTAGTCCAGGATGTACTTGGGGTTGAAGGCGCGGAGGACGCTGACGTCGTGCTTCACCAGGTTGTAGACGCCCACGCCGCCGATGAGGAGCAGCCACAGCAGGACGACGGGGGCGAACAGGTAGCCCACCTTGTGGGTGCCGAACCGCTGCACGGCGAACAGCAGCACCAGGATACCCACAGTGATCCACACGATCTGGTCTGCATCCATGCACGAACGTTAATTATCAAGCTACCTAGGTACCAACTCATTTTTCGGTTCAATGAATGATCATCATACATACATGAATTGAACTTGCAGTGATCAAGCTACTAGGCCAATGTTGTTCATGGGGCCGGGGTACGTACGCTACGGTGTCTATCAGTATCACACATCAGTCACCGCGCGCCGTGCACTAGTACTGTTCATGTAGCGCGCCGGTCACCACGGTGACTTGAGGAGATGGAACTTGGGGGGTGTCGTAACCCTCTCATGCTTTGTGCTTTTTTTATATATATGAGCTGTCTATCTAACATCTGGGTGTTTTAGCACCCGGTAACACATGAATTTCCCCCCCATAGATACTGTTCATCTTCCTCCTCTCTTCTCTTCCTCCTTGACATAAATCATAAATCACAAGTAATAAATCACAAATCACAAGTAACAAGTAATAATTTTTTTTCTATGAAAGGATAAAGACAAATTTGGTGGCGGCGCCGGAGTTGGAGAAGAAGCTCACGGACTTGAGAAGATGCTCGGCGGTTGGGAAGATGCGGCGCGGCAGCGGGCAAAGCGCGAGCGGACAAGCGTGCAGCAGCCTGTGGCCTTGGCGCGACGTCTTGATTCATGACCAAAAAAAAAATCGTGTGCCACCGGGTGATAAAACACCCAGTTGTTGTATAGCATTTCCGTGTGTGTGTGTATATATATATATATATATATATATATATAGTGAGAGTATATTCAGTAGCAAGCTACAAAATAAGTTATTCTGTAGCCACCTTCATTGACAATAATTTTATATACTAATTTACGATAATGTCAATACATATTTACAATAGTTGGGTTACTATAATATATGGGGATATTTACCATAACATAATAGTAAACCACTAAGTAAGAAGTTACTATAATCTTGTAAATTAACAAAGTAATTATCGTAACTCAAAGTGGCTACAAAATAAGTTATTTTGTAGACCGCTATAGTTCTATATATATATATATATATATATATATATATATATATATATATATATATATATATATATATATATATATATATATATATATATATATATATATATATATATATATATATATATATATATATATGGTTTCGGACCATGACTTTTAGGAACGTGAGACACGTCGGGTTGTGCCATCGTGGCACGATAAGTTTCTTTTTTTCTTTAGCAAAAGCACAATGTTTATAAGATCAACCGACCTAAGCACAACCATCAGAATATCTATGCTTGTTTTCTTTGTCTACTTGTCACGTAGAAATACTAAGCAATTGCATCGTACCATTTATATAGACGTGTTTACGTGCTATTTTCGTGCCATTACTGGGAGCGCAACTGCGCAAGCACAACCCAAAATATAGGTATAATATGCCATGTTGTCCATCATAACGACATTCTGGATGCAGCAAGGCCCTCGCATCAATACCATATCGAGCCTGTTCGGCTGGTATTAAAACCGGCTGAAGCTGATTTGTTATAAGAGAAAAATACTGTAGATTCTAGCTGATAAGCCGGCTGATAAGTTCAAGCGAACAGGCCCGTAGCAGCGTCTAAATTTTTTCGTGTCATACCTACTGTGATTTATTAGGCCGTGGCCGTCACAATTGTATTATCTGTAGTTCACTTCAGGACATGTTCGTCAGGCCATTCAAATTAATTGTAAACAGCTAATTAACTAGGCAGGAGAAATATCAACTATCATCTCTAACTGTGCTTGCCCCATATTTGCTGGTAGCAGGCCACCACCATATGCATGCATGCATTATTTACAAGCCGGCCGGCTGGTCTACTCATCACCTAATTAGTAATGGATACATCCCTGTCTACATATAGGTAAGCAAGATTAATGGAGATGTTACGTGGTGGCAATGCAAGTTGAACATTAATGTTGGGATGGCTGGCGGCAGAATCATGGCCCCGTTCGCGTGCCTTTAAACCCGGCTTGATCCGCTTCTTTTTTCATCCGGAACAGTGTTTTTCTCTCACAAATTCCTCCAGCGTTCCTCCAAACCATCCAAATATCGGACCGCGAGAAAAACGAACAAGATATGACATTATCCATATATCATCATATCTGACGTCTAGCTAAGGTCAGTCATTAAAACACCCATTGTCAATAAAAAAGGTTCATTGTATATACGATTTCATAGACATTTAATTTCATTACTCATAGAGAGTTGATATATAATTGTGTCAAGAGAGTTTCATCGATCCCTATGAAACTCATTTCTTTTCTCTCTCTTTAAAAATGTTGCTACATATCAAAAACACTTATGCGGTAGCTTATCAAATACAAATAAAACTCTGATGAAACTTTACGGAGATCGACCTAACATCTACTCGCTTCGTCCAAAAAAAGACATTCTCGTTTTCTAAGAAGTTAACCAGTCTCAACTTTAACTAATAAATATATAAAAATACTAATATTTATGAGGTGAAATAAGTATAATTAGATGAATATTGAAGTATATTTTTATAATAAACTTATTAAGTCGATATTATTTTCTATAAATCAAAACAAACATTTAAAAAAAGTTTTACTTCCTCTAAACCTAAAATGAAATTATTTTTAAGACAGGTGGAGTACTCTACCAATGATAAACCATCTTTATGTGGCGTAAAAGTGAAGACGACGATCATATTCATACATCCACGTCAACACCATCGACCGGACGGAGTAGTAGTTAATTACTATTGTAAAAGTATCATTAGATCATCTCTCACCTACAATTAACGCGTGGGCGGTTCCTCGATCCATCCATCTACATGATCTCTCACCTACAATTAACGCAAGGCAAGGCAAGACCACAAGGCAACGGAACTGGGGACAATTTTATGACATCAAATAGATTAAGAGGCTGGATCGGATGGGATGGCGTAATTAAGGAGTAATTAGGACACGGACTGCTCAACTAACCGATATATATCATCATCCATGTGAAGTTACAGCTCCATCGATACACTGTATCTCCACTACTGATATAGAAAGAGCTAGCTAGCAGTATATGATCTGATGGTGCATGCTGCGCTGTCATTATTAGTTGATAGCTGAAGACGCACATGCATTTCCCATTTTGCCCCCTAGCTCGATCGGTGCTAGTGCTACACTATCTGAAAAACAACCCCACGATACTAGTATGTAGGTATTGCAGTAACTTTGCAAGGGTTAGTTGCATCATTTCTCTGGATATATATATATGACATGAAACAAATGGACTGGGAAATAGCGCCCCTTAGGACACTTCCAATGCTAGGAACTATGACCGGTGTTTAAATTAAGAAGTCGTCGTCTCACACATATACTAGGAACCAGTATAAACTAGCATTTTTCAATGTATAGTTGTTTCTAAGCCATTCTAAGGAAACGACTCTTTTTCTCTGAAACAGAATGAGTGATGAGTCAAGTGCACCACCGGCCGGAAACATCAAGACCTACCAAACAATGAGTTTATTGTGTGCCTTGATTTTGATGCAAGAAACACGGTTGTATGCAAGATCAAGTTTCATATATATACATTCAGTAGCCAGCTAAAAAATAAGTTATTCTGTAGCTACCTCCATTTACGATAATTTTATATACTAATTTACGATAATATCAATACATATTTACGATAGTTGGGTTATTATAACACATGAGGATATTTACTATAACGTTATAGTAAACCACTTAGTAAAGAGTTACTATAGTCTCGTAAATTAACATAGTAATTATCGTAACTTAAAGTGGCTACAGAATAAGTTATTTTGCAGCCAGCTACATGATGGTATATATATATATATATATATATATATATATATATATATATATATATATATATATATATATATATATATATATATATATATATATATATCCCATCCAAAATGTTAGATGTAGCATTGCACGGTACCCACAAAAACTATATAAGAATAAATAATCCACGCGTGTTTGACTAGTTTGATGCATGATGTATATATGGCTGAAAACAGCTTAAATTTGTATGTATGTATGTATGGATGAGGATGACCACCTGCAGTGCTGCGTGCTGCCTGTGTTGGTTGGTTCTCGTCATATGCATCGACGATCATAGATAGATATTAAGCCTGTTTGACAGTTTGTATCTGACTTATAAGCCTTGAATTATCAATCAATCAATAATATTTTTCTCTCACATCAAATCAATCATGACTTATAAATCTACGAACGCTCCCAAGCGCCAGAGGTAGCTTTCTTTAGCTTCCTTTAATTCATCAGTTTCAGATAGCTTAGCAGTACTGCTACTCCTCCTACACACACTGTTGTGTGTACTACACTACAGCACTAGTACTACACGAATGCTGCTGCTAGCGATCGAGGTAGCCAATCCGTCCCATCTCCGCGGTTTAAAGTTTTGAAGTGTCGCACGTGAACATATACATGTGATGCTAATAAAAAAATAAATTATAGAATCTGTCACTAATCCGCGACACGAATTGATTAAGCATAATTAATTCATCATTAACATATGTGTTACTGTAGCACAACATTATCAAATTATGAACTAATTAGGCTTAAAAGATTCGTCTCGTAAATTAGTCCCAAACTGTATAATTAATTATTTTTTAGTCTATATTTAATACTTCATTTATGTGTCAAATATTCAATGGGATATGGAGTAAACTTTAACAGAGGAACTAAACCGGTCCTAAATCGGTAGTTAAGGAGTTCATACATGTGGGCCAGACTAGATAGACGACGCGCGCAGCAATTAAGTTAATGAAAGCTACGTGTGGTGTGGTGTGGTGTGTGGATACGATACAGAGAGAGAGAGAGAGAGCAGGTACAGTATTTTTTGTGGTGCACATGCAGTTACAGGAGTGGACCAGGTGGTGGTGGTGGATCGGATCGGAGCTAGCTAGACGAGTGTGTGATAGATCCATGTCCATCAATCAATCAATATCCATAATCACGGGACTGATTAACCTGCCTAGCTAGCTACGACGACCTTCGATAATCCGCTTTATTAGCTGCTAGCTAGTATCGTCGATCGTCAGATCACTTCGTCATTACTACACTAGTCTGTTTTGCATCGCCAGCGCGCTAAGCTACAGTTTACCTAGCTAGCTGTTTAATTAAGGACTTGATTTGAAGCTATAGCTAATTAACAGCAGATCGACGTCGTGTCCTGTCGATGATCGATGGATTATGTATGTATATTGTTACTTACTACAATTCTTCTACGGTACCAATAAATACTACATCCGTTCTTAAAAAAAAAGTCAAAGCGACTTATAATTTAGAACGGACCGAGTAACAATTTGTATCTTTGAAATCGGAATGCATGCAAGAGCGATTGTATTATATATATTATCATTATTATGAAGAAAATTGTAGATATATATATAGAGTAGCAATTAAGCTAATAATTAATTAAGGAGAGTATATATACATGCATAACAGTGTACTACGTTTATATGTACGTACCTGTGGTGAGGTTTGGCGCTTTCTCCTTGAGCCCCCCGACGGCGGAGAGGACGGAGATGGCGGGCGTGAGGCAGGCGTCGCTGATGACCATGGCGGTGGCGACGATGGTGACCAAGAAGAGGGAGATGCGCACGGGCTTGCTCGTCTCCAGCAGCTCCTTCACCCACACGGCCCGCTGCTCCCGGTGCGACGCCAGCTGCACCGACCGCCGCCGCATGCTGCCGCGCTTGCCCAGCACGGCGCCCAAGGCGTCGTCCGTCGTGTGCAGCTCGTCCTCCGGCTGGTGGTTGGGCACCATGCTCACCTTGGCGTGCCGAGAGATGAGCGAGTAGAGCGCGAACGTACCGCCTGTCATCATCAGGCACAAATCATGCATGCATGCATCATATCAGTGGTGTTCCGGTGCATGCATGACCATGGCTTCCCCCGGCCGTTGATGAATCCATTTCGATCGTTAGCTCACACAGAGGTGTCTCGTAGGTACGTTACCGACGACGTACTCTCTATTGTTAGTGGTGGTTCGTTTCAATCAATTATTATTGTTAGTTTGACTTGTTGAGGAAACAGATGCATACATGCATGTCTAATAACTATATATTTGACTTTTGTTGATCCGATCGCTCACGGCTCGCGATCATCACTAGATCGATGAGAATGAATGAGAGATGAGGAGATATATATGAGCTAGCAGCAGGTAGAGGTACAGATCGATCGACGATCGACGACATACCGTCTCCGTCGTCGTTTGCTCTGAGCGCGATGTAGACGTACTTGATGATGGTGAAGAGGAGGAAGCTGTAGATGATGAGGGAGAGCACGCCCAGGAGGTCGTCCACGTCGCGGATGCCGCCGGTGAAGGTGCTCGAGTACACGTACAGCGGCGACGTCCCGATGTCGCCGTACAGGACGCCGACGCACTGGAACGCCAGCCGCAGAGTCCGCGCCCACCCTTCCTGCTGGCTCCCGTTGCCGCCTCCGCCGCCGCCCGCCCTCGTCGCGTCCCTGTACAGCGAGTCCTGTCGCTGCACGCCCATCGGCAGCGCCAGCGCCAGCTCCAGGTCCGCCATGTCCTGATCATGCTCGGAGCAGCAGCTGCTCCCCTGCTGCTTCTGCTGCTTGTTGTTCCCTGCCGCCATGTTCCGCCCCTCTGCCGCCGCCGTGCACACCGGCACCATGATGCCGCGGCCCGCCGTCAACTGATGATCAGCTGCTGCCTGCTGGGCCATGTATCGCAGGCACCTTCTCGACGACGATCGCTCATATAAGAGACAAGCTACTATATATACTACTACTATAAATAAGGTAGCTAGCTAGCTGATGATGAGAATTCCAAAATGTGATATGATGATGTGCGCGGCAGAGCAAGCCCCCTGCTGCTGCTGCCTTTTATATAGAGACTAGACTGAGATCGAGGGATCTGCTAGCAAAAGCAAATACCAGCAGGCGGGGGGCGTGTGAAGTGTGAACACAAGGACCTGCTGCTGCACGTGTCTTCTTCAGCCGGGCTCCACCTCCACGCGCAAACCCGTCGTCGTCCTCACTCGTCACTGTACGTCACACTCGCCCCTTCACTATGCTAAATTGTCCTTGTGTTTCTGTACGTATGGGACAAACTAGTCCATTACACACAAGATGCCTTGTCCAAACCATATATATGAATTCAAGTGGGCCTGTTTGGCGCAGTTCCACAAGCTCCAGATTCACCAAAAACAGCTCCACGACACATAGTTTTACTCAAGCGATCTAGCTCCACGAAATCTGGATTCACCAAAATCGTGTATCTGGCCCAGATCTATAGTTTTGGTAGAGCTCCTCAAGGGGTGCTCCACGAAATCCTGCTTCGTACTTCCTCATGGAGTTGGGTAGTAATTACCTACCAATGCCACTGGTTACACATCCCCAGTCCATACCGTTTCGTTTCTATTTTGCTTTTCTTCCCCACACAATTGCCGTTTCGTTTCTATTTTGCCTTTCTTCCCCGCTCGACTGAAGCAGCAACGAAAAAAAAGAAAACCGCACGGCCACCACCTCGGCGACTACTGCTCCTCGCATCGCCACACCCCGGTGCTCCGGCGAGCCACCACCTCCAGCGATGGTCAGATTTGGTACATCCGGGTCCCCCCCCACCTCCTCCACCCCCTTCTTTCTTCCTCCATGGGTAAATCGCCTTCTAGGGTTGGCCTCTGAAAGGTCCCTAGTTTGGTTTTGGTAATTGAGTGACAACCTAGGTGGACTAATGTGCTTAATTGTGAGATACACATGTCATGACGGTGAAGATGGCTTGGATTTATTGTAAGGCTCACACATGCGATGAAGGAGCTCATTGCATATGAGACATGACATGGAGAGTCATGTGACTAAGGTGGAGAAGATCAAGACAAGACTTGGCTTGATGGATCGGTTGCAAGTGTGAAGGCCAAATTGAGTGATGACTTGGTGCCGATGGACCGAAGCAACGGTGAAGAGCAAGTGAGGTCAAGATCGATGAACAAATATGGTTACATGATGATATGAAGTGTATCATATCATTTGTGATATGGTTGGTGCATATGTTGCATCAATACCGGAGGAGATGAAATGGAATGCATAAGGCAAAGGTATATTTGTAGGGCATTTCATTTCACCGGTCATAGGTGTGTAGAGAAGTTTATGACCGGGTTTAGGATAGATGACCAGGATTTGCATATTGGTCATCTAGTGCCACTTGAGTGATCTAACTTTGCGATATTGCTAGGATCGAGTGGCGCGGTGAATTGAGTGATTAACTCCTTAAAAATGTTTGTGAAAAGCTAACACACATACACATGGTGGTGTACACTTGGTAGTGTTGGCACATTTGCTAAGGAGAAGAAGTTAGAGTTGATGTGGATCAACTCGGTGAAGAAAAGGAGGCGAAAAGAGGTCTCTGGAGGTGACCGGATGTAGGCCTCGATAGGACCTACGTGTTCGGTCAGTGTAAGTAGAAGAGGCACGGTCTCGGTCTTGTTGACCAGACGCTGAAGCCTAGAGGTGACCAGACGCGATGCTGGTGTGTCGGGTTGCATGTGACGTATGGTGACATGGCGGCATTCTAGCGCAGCAGAGAGAGAGAGAGAGAGAGAGAGAGAGACCGGACGCTGACCGCGTCAGGTCGACGTTGACCTGACACGTTTGGTCATGATTTCTCCTCTCTGGACCATCTCTGGAAGTGAGCGGACGTAGAGTGGTGGAGCGTCAGGTCGTTCGGACGGCGCGTCCAATCGCTGGCTTGGAGGCGCAGGCGTGTGAAGACCGGATGCAGGGACGCCGAGTCAGGTCGTGGCTTCGGTGCGTCCGATCGTCCTTGGCGCACGCGCGAAGTTAGCCGACCATTGGGATCAGGCAGCCGCAATCAAACGCAGGCGTCACGTGGACGGTCGGGAGTGACCGGACGCTTGGCTTGGCGCGTCCGATCATCACGACCGGCGCATCCGGTCGCTGTGATTTCAGCCCAGTGAAGGGATAACGTCTAGTTTGGCCCGTGGGGATATAAATAGAAGTGTTAGCCGGCCTTTGGCTGATAGCTGAGCACCCTTGAGCCTTGGTGGCTGGTGTAGGTGTGCTTGGGATCCCTCTAACTCACATATGCTTGATAGTGATCATCCGATTATGTGAGTGGGTGATTTCTAGTGCATTGCATTGCGACATTGCATCGAGTGGCACTAGGTGATCGAGTTGCAAGTTGGTAGTGTGGGGGTATGACCTCCGATATCCACAGGACAAGACATGGGCTGCACCTTCAAAGGTTGCCCAGCCCACAAGATCGAGACGTGCACCGTAAGGCTATAAGAAGATGTGATTTATTGTATAATTCCAAATAGGATATTTTCTTTGTAACCCTATCCCTCTAGAGTATATAAGGAGAGGCAGGGGTCCCCTAGTGGACATCTCCACATATCTTAATGCAATACATCAGAACACATGATCTAGGTATTACGTCATACTAACGGTTGAACCAGTCTAAATCTTGTGTCTTGGTGCTTGTATTACCATCTAGTTCGTATCTCACACACCTGTACCAATTCATCTACTACCATGGGCATACCCCTCGGTAGACTACCGGCTGTATTTCATCGATAGTGGCGCACTAGGTAGGGGGTGTGCGTGTTGATTCTATGGCGAACCAGATGTGAATCTTTTCTTCAACCAACATCGCCGACAACTCGGCATTCGGTGGCAACTTGACGCTAGCATGCAGTGGATTGCTTTCCTCGGTGAATGGCCGCACGTGCTGGAGTCCGATGCCTTGCCATACGCCTCCAACAGACGCAACACGCGACAACAAGATCAGAGTCAAGCAATCTAAGAAAGCTAAGTCAAGTCGCTTCCTAATTAAATATTGTTATTATACTTCTAGATATATCCTTATGTCTGCATGATTTTGGTTAGGAGAAACCTAATCGCATCTTGTTGTTGCTCGTGATTTCTGATCGGATACGCAAGATCATTTCTGCAGATCACGATAACCAGCAATCAGGAAAGGCGGCCGGCGATAACGCGATGTGGAGCAGTGTTTCCACCAAAGATGCTGATCGGCCGTACAAGCTAATTGGAGTAGTTGAAGAGATATACAAGCACATATGCATCTAGATCTACACCACCATGCAAGCAACCTCACGTATCTAAGGCATACAAGGAAGATCTCAGAGTGCGCCCTCGCCTTGGTCGGACACGCTCAAGGGCTTCGCCTCCCCATGCGGATTGACTCTATCAGGCTCCGATTACGCCCGTTCGCCTATGACTCCTATGACTCCGCGTACCCGTCCGAGCTATCATGTGAGCCGTCCGAGCTATAAAGCGAGCTGTCCGAGCTATCAAGCAAGTCGTCTGAGATGTCAAGCAAGCCGTCCAAGCTATCAAGCGAGCCGTCCGAGCTATTAAGCAAGCCATCCGAGCTGTCAAGCGAGCCATCCAAATCACACCCATCTACTCGGACATCATGACTCGCCGACTCCTCTACTCCACTCAGCGTCAATCAAGCTAAGTCATGCTTTAATATTCTTCTAAATATCCTCTAATCTTCATACGTCTCCGATATTTCTCCATGCTGTTTTCTCCATAATCATTCTCCAAACGACTTTTTTCTCTGCGTATACCATCTTAAAGATGACACACGCTTTCAACTCAATAAATCCCCAAACAGTCATATTGACGTTCAGATGTCCCTAGAGACGGCCCTATCTCCGGCTTCTCCCTTCACGTACACGAGCGTCTACCCTCTGCATTACGGGTGGTCAACAGCGGCTCCTTGGCGATGCTTTGTTCTTCCTATACGCACACGGGCTCTAGGTTCCGCACTCTGTGTTATGGTTAACGGGTTAGCCAGGGTTGGAGACTCAGCTACAAACTAACTGTTCGGATGATTTATATTAAATATAAACACTTTATCCAAAAACGAACATAATGTTCATCTATAACTAATCACCGAGCTGCATACGCTATTTCATCACTGTGGATTTTCCTCGGGGTTTCATATATTTTATTTTTACATCATGAACTATCCATTCTACATATTTTTATTTCAGGGGCCTAGTTCAGTTAACGAGCTTACGCTCGGGGACTGGATCTATCAGGAAAGACAAGAGGATCATCATCTGGGTGGTCACGCCACCTGGCACTCGGACTTCACCGCCGACCAACTGGTCGGACTGTTCGGTTCATGGACTTCATCGCCGACCAGTTGGTCGGACTGTTTGATGCTCACTTCCGCTCAGGCATTCACTTCACCGCCGATCAGATTGCTCGTCGCTTCGGCTTCATCGATAGCTAAGCTGGGGACTCCCTTGGCATTTGGATTTTGCTACATCTTATCGCTATGCTTTCAAGTTGCTCCATGCTATTCAGATCACGGTGCTGATCTTGGGCAGCACATCTGGGGTCTTAATAAGTACATGACAAATGGTGTTGGCAAGCTTTCATATTTATTTCCTTTGACCCCACTACAAGATTTATTTCTTCATCTTCCAGCAGGCTCGGGGACTAAGTGGCTACACTTCACCTGACTATGTAGTGCTTTTTTCTGATTTACCCTTCTTATTCACTAAGGAGTCTAAGTGGCTACACTTCACCTAAGGTGAAGAATTTTCAAATTTTATCTTTAGCCCCTTACATCCTTCTGGCAAGCCTTACTCTTGCAAGTTCGAGGCCGGCCGACTAGTTTGCTTCAATCTTCACCGCTCAGTTTACCAGTTAAACTGGTCGGTTTCAA